GCATATGGAACAAAGAAATCAGTAACACCATGAAAAAACACGTATCAAAATGACGTCAATAAATTCATATCTGTCTATAATTATACTGAATATCAATGGGTTAAACATACCACTTAAGAGACAGATAGTTGCAGAGTGGATAAGAAAACATGACCCATTAATATGCTGTCTACAAGACTCACCTTAGACATAATCATAAAAATAGAATAAAAATCAAAGGTTGGAAAAAGGTGTATAAAGCAAATGGCAATCTAAAAACAGCAGGGCTGGTGATACTAGTTTCTGATGAAATAGACTTTAAGACATAAGTCAGACTTTAACAGAACTGAAAAGACAAATAGATGACTCCACAGCAATAGTAGGAAAATTCAATATACCACTTTCAATAAAAGATAGAAGTAGATAGGAAATCAACAACATGCAGAAGAACTAAACAATACAATCAACAAACTTTGCCTTATAGACATCTACAGAGTACTTTACCCAACAGCACAATATACATTCTCTTCTAGCACACACGGAATATTCTCCAGGATAGACCATATGTTAGGCTACAAAGCAAGGCTCAATAAATTTAAAAACACTGAAATAATACAAAGCATCTTCTCAGATCAAACTGCAATAAAATTAGAAATCAACATTAGAAGACCAACGGAAAGAGTAAATGCATGGAAACTGAGTAATGCCCTTCTCAAAAATGACTGGGTAATTGAAGAAATAAAAAATAAAATGAAAAAATTCCTTGAATCTAATGAGAATGGAAACACAACATATGAAAATGTTTGGGACACAGCAAAAGCAGTGATCAGAGGGCAATTTATAGCAATAGATGCACACAGCAAAAAAGAAGAAAGTCAATTATGCACATGTTAACCTAATATCTCCAATCAGAAAAAGAGCAGCAAAAAAAGCCTACAGTCAGCAGAAGAAAAGAAATACAGATTTGAGCAGAAATAAATGAAACAGAAAACAGAAAGACCATAGAAAAACAATCAAGAAAAGTAGAAGTTGGTTCTTTGAAAAGGTAGTAAAAATCAAGAAACGAACGGCAAACTTCCCAATGGAAAAGAAGAAGACACAATTAACAGGAGTAAGAAATGAAATGGGCGACATCACAACAAAACCAATCAAAATAAAAAGGATAATTATCAGGACACTATGAAGAACTGTACTACAACAAATTTGAAACCTAAAAGAAATGGACAGATTTCTAGAAACACACTACTTACGTAAACTAATACAGACTGAGGTAGAAAATTTGAACAGACCCATAACAAAAATTGAGCTGGACATAAAAAAATTACCAACAAATAGAAGTCCTGGCCTGGATGGTTTCACTGGAGAACTCTACCAAATGTTCAGAGAAGAGCTGACACCAGTTCTACTCAAAGTATTCCAAAATACAGAAAAGGATTAAGTTCTCCTAAATTCAATTTATGAAGCAAGCATAACCCTGATACCAAAACCAGGTAAAGACCCCACTAGAAAGCAAGAGTATTGACCAATATCCCTCATGAATATAGACACAAAAATCTTCAACAAAAGCCTAGCCAATAGACTCCAATAATGTATCAAAAAAATAATACATCATGACCAAGTGGGATTCATATCAGGTATGCCAGGATGGTTCAACATTAGAAAAACAAGATCTTCCTTAACATAAATAAAATAAAGGGAAAGAATCACATGATCATATCAATAGATGTAGAAAAGGCATTTTATAAAATCAAACACTGATTCCTGATCAAAACTCTTAGAAAAATAAGAATAGAAGGGAAATCCTCAACATAATAAATGGTATATATGCAAAACCAATAGCCAACATTCTTCCCCTTGCAAACAAGAACCAGACAAAGATGTCCTCTATCTCCACTTCTATTTAGCATTGTATCAGATCTCATAATACAATAACTCAAGGCAATAAGTCAAGGCAATTAGCCAGGGCAATAAGTCAAGAAAGGGAAATCAATGGCATCCAAATTGGTAAGGAAGAAGTAAAATTACTTCTATTTGCTGATGATGTGATCCTATACATAGAAAACCCAGGAGACTCAGCAAGAAAATTACCGGAACTTACTGAAAGATTAAGCATATGGCAGGATATAAGATCATCATACAAAAATCAGTTGGATTCTTCTACACCAGCAAAGAGGTCTCTGAAAAGGAAATAAGGAAATGAATACCATTTTAATAGTCACCAAAAAGATAAGATACTTAGGAGTAAATCTTACCAGGAGCAGGTCTCTGAAAAGGAAATAAGGAAATGAATACCATTTTAATAGTCACCAAAAAGATAAGATACTTAGGAGTAAATCTTACCAGGAGCAGGTCTCTGAAAAGGAAATAAGGAAATGAATACCATTTTAATAGTCACCAAAAAGATAAGATACTTAGGAGTAAATCTTACCAGGAGCACAAAAGACCAATACAAAGAAAACTACAAAACACTACTTCAAGAAACTATAAGAGATTGACATAAATGGAAGAACATACCATGTTCATGGATAGGATGAGTGAACATTATGAAACTGGCAAAACTGTCCAAAGCAATCTATACATTCAATGCAATCTCAATTCAGATTCCATCAACATTCTTTAAAGACATGGAAAAACCAATCACTAACTTTATATGGAAAGGAAACAGACCTCTGATAAGCAAAGCACTCTTGAAGAACAAAAGTAGGAGGTCTCCCAAACCCAGATCTCCAAACCTATTATATAGCCACAGTAGTCAGAACAGCCTGATATTGGTACAATGATAGACACATAGGCCAGGAGAACAGACAGAACTGAGAACCCAGAAATAGATCCATCCACCTATGGTCAGCTGATCTTTGACAAAGGGCCAAAATCCATTACGTCAGGAACAGACACTCTTTTACAAATGGTGCTGGCAAAACTAGATATCCATTTGCAGAAAAATGAAACAAGATCCATACCTCATACCATACACAAAAATGAACTCCAGATGGATCAAAGACTTAAATGTAAAACATAAAACTACATAATTTATCAAAGAAAAAATAGGGGCAAACTTAGGAGTCCTAATTTATTGGCATAAACAGACTATCAAGCATAACTCAAAATGCACAAATGGCAGAAAATAAAGTAGATGACTGGGACCTTATAAAAATTAAATTCTTATGTGCATCATAAGGCTTCTCCAAAAGAATAAAAAGAGAAATTATAGACTGGGAAAAAATATTCAGCAATGACATATCTGAAAAAGGACTTATCTCTAAAATTCATAGGAAACTCTCACATATCAACATTAGAAAGACAAACAATCCAATTAAAACATGGGCAGAAGATATGAACAGACACTTCACCAAAGAAGATACTCAGGCAGCCAACAAACACAGGAAGAAATGTTCATGAACATTAGCCATTACAGAGATGCAAATCATAACGACCATGAGATACCATCTCTTCCCAGCATTAATAGCAAAGTTCCATAAGACAGAAAATAACAAATGTTGGTGAGGATGTGGAGAGATTGGGACTCTCATACACTGCTGGTGGGACTATAAAATGATACAACCACTGTGGAAATCTGTATGGCAATTCTTTAAAAAGTTAGAAATAGAAATACCATTTGTTCCAGCAATCCCATTACTAGGTAAATATCATAAAGAAGTGCGAGCAGGACACAAATAGATAAATACACACTCATGTTCATCACAGCACTATTCACAATAACAAAAAGATTGGAAACAACCAAAGTGCCTATTAATGGAGGAATGGAATACTGAATTGTGGTACATACACACAATGGAATACTATGCAACCCTAAAAAATAAAGTAGAATTTGCAAAACACTGCATAATGTGAATGAATATGGAGGACATTATGCTGAGTGAAATAAGTCAATGAGAGAAGGACACGTATTGTATTAGTTCACTATTGTAAAAAGTCAGGGAAAGGTTTTTACATGGAAGGGAACTTTCTTAGTTGGTTATCAGGGATGGGGTGAGGTGGGGGGTGGGGAGGAGGAGGGATTCCTAAATAGGTTGAAGGGAAAAAAAAGAAACAAAAAGAATGTATTTTTATATATATGTGCGTATATATATAAATATATATACACACACACACACATACATACAAACACACACATAAACACATATGTCTATACACACACACACACACACACAAACACATGTTTTATATATATATATATATCAATCCCCCCCCAAAGATTATTAGTGGCTACTAGGGTTAGAAGGGATGGGGAAAGGGGAAGCTTTTGTTTGCAGGGCATCAGGTTTATGCTAATGGTCACCAATGTCCCTAATATGTAAATGTGCCAGGTGTTGTATGTTGGCATATGTCTTATGTGTATTTTCACTATAATAAAAGTGGGAAAAAACAAAAAAAGGAAGGACTATATTAAAAAAAAAAAAGTTTGCCATAAGTCAGAATCAACTCGATGGCAATGGGTTTGGTTTTTGGTATTGTATAGAGATGAGTGTCCAGTACAAGGCTTTTACTTCAGTGGACACAGAGACATTATGGCTGTTTATAAGTTTTTATCTTATGTATAAAATCACAGAAAAAAAAAATCACCTGAAGACTCTTGATTTTCAGGAAAAAGTTGGAGATAGTGCACATAGGAATGACAGAAAGGTAACTAACTTAATGTCACTGATGTTTTCAGCAATATCGGAGTCTCAATCATCTATCTGTTGTTGTTATTGTTGTTATGTACCATTGAGTCGGACCTGACTCATAGCGACCCCTCCTTGGGTTTCCAAGGCAGTATCACTACGGAAGTAGATTGCCCCATCTTCCTTCCGAGGAGTGGCTGGTGGGTTTGAACCGCCAGCCTTCTGGTTAGCAGTCAAGTGCGTTAGGCACTATGCCACCAGAGCTCCCAATCATCTATCTAGGTAGGTAAAATAACAACTTTGACAGGGGAAAGTGTGGTAATAATCACAGCTTCTTATCCACCATAAAGGAGGTTAAGGAGATTTTAAAAAAATATAAAAAAGATAGACACCTACCTTTCTCAAATTTAGAAAAGGCAACTGACTTGAGGCTGCACTGATGACCTTTGCATGTTCCAATTAGTTCACCAGCATTTACATCCCAAAACTTGGCTGTTTGATCACCTGCTGCTGTAACCTTTAAATAATATGGTAGCACAATTTAATAATAACACTTTATCAGTATTTACCCTGCTCCCAGTAAAATGAAAGTCACTTACAAGTTTAAATTCACCAGGGACCCAGGCTAGGTCAAAGACAGCATTCCAGTGAGCCATCCACTCTAAACAAAGAAAACAGTCAATGTGAAATGTTTAGACTGTGTTCTGTGGCAGCGATATCAATGCAGTTTAAATGCCTTGAAAGCTGCACTGGAAGATCAGTGATCAGTGTCTGTATTTCATGGTACATGGGTCAAAGAGAATTAGGGGACTGACAGACATCACACATTCCCTTCACTACCTCATATGAGAACTACCATTTGATGTCAAATTCCTATGAACTGACTAGTAATATATTCTCTAAAATAGAATCTTTCTGACACATTCTCCAGTTCAAAAATATTTATGATGCTCTCTGGTTGACATTCAACACCCTGCAAGATATGGCTTTTATCTCTTTGGAAGGCTTATCTTTCACTGTTCTCCATGTATCTTATTCCAACCAAACTGGATCACTCCCTAATTCCTTATCATATCCTATGCTTTCCTATCTCTTAAAAAAGCAGTTAATGTTGAGATCATTCCAACTCATGGGGACCATGTGTGCTCCACAGGGTTTTCAATGGTTGATTTTTCAGATGTAAATTCCCAGGCCTTTCTTCTGAGGCATCTTTGGGTGGCCTTTTGGTTAGAAGTCACATGTGTTATCTTTGGCAGCACACTCAGAGACTCCTCAAAACCAAAACCAAACTAACTGCCATCAAGTTGAGTCCAACTCATAGCGACCAACATTGAGTTTCCAAGGCAGTAAATCTTTATGGAAGTAGACTGCTTCATCTTCCTTCTGCAGAGCACATGGTAGATTTGAACCACTAACCTTCTGGTTAGCAGTCAAATGTCTTAGGGACCATGCCACCAGAGCTCCTAGGCTAATGCTCTGCCCTCCAACTGGTGGAGTGTTGTACTGTATCCCCATTGGTTTAAGTGCCATAGAACAGCTCAAATGTCCCTTCCTTCATGAAAAATTTTCCTGGCTGCCTTTACCACATGTGAGCTTTCCCTTTGATACCTATGGCATTTTCTTTTCTTTTCTCCTACATCATTTATAGTCTTTGTTTTATTTTAGTTATATAAACACTTGACTTACTAGTTTCAAACTGTTAGCTGCTTAAGGCCAGTAGAACTTTGCCTTATATTTGGGAAATGTTGTTGTTATGTGCCGTTGAGTTGGACCTGACTCATAGCGACCCCTCCTTGGGTTTCCAAGGCAGTATCACTATGGAAGTAGATTGCCCAACATTCCTTGCGAGGAGTGGCTGGTGGGTCTGAACCACCAGCCTTCTGGTTAGCAGTCAAGTGCCTTCGGCACTATGCTACCATTTTTAGCAATGTTTCCCACAACCACATTAAATCTATAAGATTTAACATTTTTTAAAAAGAATGCTTTTAATTTTACAATGTATTATTATTATTTTTAACTTTCAATAAAGGTATTACCATAGTTAGCAGTTACTGACAGATAGTCAATAGCTATCTCTAGGAAGGAATATATTTATATATGTGTGTGTGTATATATATATACACACATATATATATATGTGTATATATATATATATACACACATACATATACACACAAGCACATGCATGTGTATAAATACACACACACAAACTCACACATGATTCATACACACACACACACACACACATACATACACCCCTGCCTCCACAAAGATTATTAGTGGCTACAAGGAGGGGTCGCTATGAGTCAGGGCTGACTCAGTGGCACATAACAACAACAACAGGGGTAGGAGGGAGGAGGAAAGGGGAAGCTTTTGTTTGCAGTGCATTAGGTTTATGCTAATGGTTGTGGAGTATTTTGGGAAAGGATAGCAATAATGGTGGCACAAGAAAAATGTCACCAATGTCTCTAATATGCCAATGTGGCAGGTGCTATATGTTGGCATATAAACATTTACTTTTAGCCTAGTCCCTAAATAGACTTAATCAGAAGTGAATGTAACTGGGAATGTAATCAGATAACCATTTCCTTGAGATTTTATGATTAAAAAAATGTCAAAACAAAACCTGTAGACCTCAACTTACCTTTGAAGCACTTCTTTCTGCAAGTTTGTGATTTTGTGTTATATAATCTCACAAAGCCTTCTTCATTGGCAACTGCTAGGGTATGTTCCATGTTGGGTGCTAAATAAGAAACAACAAAATATATAAAGAGTAACACAAAAATTTTAAAAGCTTAGTGGAAAGAGCTATAAATTCTATCAAGTAGATTAACTGAAAGCTACAAGGTAAACACAAAGAATCTGTTTAAAAAGAGGGAAAAAGATTTTACTCAAATATTATGATATGGTAGGGAGACATAAAAGATTGCTTAAAATTTGCCATAGTGCCTAATTCAGCAAATGACTCAAAAGCACAAAAATTATCTTCATATTATCTCTTATTGAGAGAAAGGCTGGATCGAGGATGAAATGTTAAAAAAAAAAAAAAAAGTGGTACATGCCAAAGGTAAATAAAAATATATGATGTCTATTAGTTTTAAATTCTCTTCTCCCAAACTTTCACATGTTTCTACTAACAGTGGAGTCAATTACTTCTATTTCTGTTCATATGTTCCATAATCCATCACAGAAAGAGGTAAATTTAACCAGATTAAAAGGGTTAACTACCAGGCAAAACAGTTGTCATGATAACTGAATCTTTGCAACCGTTCCTCTACACAGTTGGGGGGTAAAAAAAGGTACTGTAATAGTCCTGTGCATTATAGGAAATATATAACCATGCATAAAGATTTAGTAAAGTCTATTTCACAAATATGGAAAGAACATTATTAGAAAAACCATCACCTACCTAATTTACTTTTCCTTGTAAGAGAAACCACCTCCCAGAATACTCTTCTTTAAAGTGTGAGACAGATGATTTCTGTCCAAGTCTAGCCTAGATAGTAATTTCCTTACCAGAAGAGAAGGTGCATCCAAAAGGAGGAACTGGGACTCCTGTTTCTCCATAAGAAGTGTGCTCATCACCATAACTGCACTGATAAGCAGTTAGAAGGGACTGTAGAGGGTAACATGAAGACCACCCTAAAACAAAACCCAATTCCTTATAGAATTCCAGTATATCATCAACTTCCAACAACACTTTAAATAAATGCAGAGGTAGATATTTGTTTTTAAAGGGCTTTATTTACATTGCTAACATAGATTCACTTACTACCCATAGTCCTTTAGAATGTAGTTCTAGCATTTTTCCTAAGGGGTCTAAGGAAGTATAGCTTTGGGCTTGCTCTCTTAAATAAGGCTTTTACTAAAAGACTGCGAGAAACAAACGGCCTTGTATACTGAAAAAGATTCTCTCTTCTACTACCAAGAAACCACCACAAAAGCATTACCATTAAAATTGCCATTCTCTCCAACTAAAATATTATGTTTTTGGAGTCTCTAAATCAACGTATTATTTGTTGCTGTGTACCCTCGGGTTCACTGCGACTCATAGCACCCTCTAGGACAGAGTAGAACTGCCCTATAGGGTTTCCAAGGAATCTTTTAAGGAAGCAAATTGCCACATCTTTCTCCCATGGAGCAGCTGGTGGATTCAAATCACTAAGCTTCAGTTAGCAGCCAAGTGCTTAACCACTGCACCATCAGGGCTCCTTACATCACTAACACTGCTACACAATCTTAAATTACTGGTCACATCATATATAAACCAGTAGTCAAAAGTATTAAGAGGTAATGTATGCCAATGTGCCTACCTATCCAAGTAATGTTGTTGTTATGTGCTGTCGTGTCTGCCCCGACTCACAGTGACCCCTCTTTGGGTTTCCGAGGCAGTATCACTATGGAAATAGATTGCCCAACCTTCCTTCCAAGAAGTGGCTGGTGGGTTTGAACTGTCAGCCTTCTGGTTAGCAGGCAAGTGCCTTAGGCATGATGCTACCAGAGCTCCTTCTCCGAGTAACATAGTTACTAAGAAAAAGTTAATATTACTACCTCTTTCCTTTCCAGAATTATAAAATATTAACAGTAACAAGTGGTAGTATGTTAAGGCAAATTAGAGCAATTTTAAAATAAAGTGTTATGTACTTAGTTCTAGAAGATCAATCAGTTAGCTCTGGCTAGTAGGATCAGGAAATTCTTTAGAGGTGGTGAAATTAAACATAAGTCTTGAAAGAAGAGTAAGTTTTCACTGAATGTAGAAGAGAGAGCAATAAATTCAAGGTGGAGGGAAAGTTTATTCTTTTTGGATCAGAGACCCAATATGTAGTATGGTCCTAAATAGTAAGCTATGTTCAAGGACTTGTTTCTACTATAATGATGTGTAGGGTCAACACATTTTAAATATATAAAAGAAGCATTCATTCAACAAATGCTCACTGAGAATCAAATGTTCATTAAATATTGGACGAACCAAAGAGGTATAATCTATTGAGAGTTGTCTAAATAATTAACAAAAATAAAGAATGATGGACTTGCTAGAGACAATGCATCCACAATCTGTGAGTCAGGAGAAAGAATAATTAACCTGAGTACATGTCCACACAGGTCAAGCTTTTCCCTGAAAAGCTTTTCATGAAAGAGGGAATTTACCTTATATTCTAATTCTTACAAACACTTTCATACTTTTAATTCTTGTTTTTCATTGAAAGTACTACTTAGAGAAGACATCTTAGCCCAACATGTTCTCAGACAAACTAGTTTTGAATATTCATAGAGAAAAGTTGATGGAATCAGAAAAAAGGAGGCAAAGAAATTATATACAGATTAAATAGTTGTTCCTGGGGGTATTACATCACAATTTCCAGGTAAGATATCATTGTAAACAAGCGTTTAAAGACTACAAAAAGAAACAATACAGTAAGTGGTTATATTGTAGAGTTCACAAATACCCATCTAACAGAATGAATTTTAAAAACAAACAGTTCAGTTCTAAAGTTATGTAAATATATACTTGTGGTTTAGGATTGTTGTTGTTTTGTGCCGTCAAGTCGGACCTGACTCCTAGCGACCCCTCCTTGGGTTTCTGAGGCAGTATCACTACGGAAGTAGATTGCCCCATCTTCCTTCCAAGGAATGGCTGGTAGGTTTGAACCACCAGCCATCTGGTTAGCAGTCAAGTGTCTTAGGCACTACGCTACCAGAGCTCCCATTAGAAAGTTACATATACTATTCTGGAACCACTGAGGCTGGATGATCCCCTGACACTATTACCCTGAGATAATCTTTAAACCTTAAACCAAAAAATATCTCCTGAAGTCTTCTTTAAACCAAACAATAGTTCAGCCAATTAGTAAAGAAAGACTGTAAAGAAAGACTGTCTGCCTTGAGCTTTGGTGACACTGTGGTTAAAGCACTGGGCTGCTAACCAATAAGGTCAGCAGTTCAAACCTACCAGCTGCTCTGTGGGCGAAAGATGAGGCAGTCTGTTTCCCTAAGATTTACAACCTTGGAAACCCTATAGGGCAGTTTTACTCTGTCCTACAGGGTCATTATGAGTTGGAATTGACTAGATGGCAATGAGTTTGGTTTGGATTTTGGTCTGCTTTGAACACTGGTCTTTTAAGAACTACCTCTATGGGAGCAAACTGACAACAGCAACTTGGAAAGATTAGATAGGAAACTGAGAGAGCAATGAGTTAATGATAATAGCAGAGGAATAATTTGGAAAAAGAGGGTGAGAATGGTTGCACAACTTGAAAAATATAATCAATGTCACTGAATTGTACATGATATGAGTCCTGCTGTGTATATTTTCAACAACAGAAAATGAACTATATAAAAAAATCTAGTTTCCTTAATCTAAGGAAACATTAACTGAATTAAAAAGGGCTGAATTGCAAACAAATTAGGTGGATTTGAAGGTGATAATACTTTGTATAATTTATGATTATACACTGACCTCTCAATTCTGCCTCACTGTCTATAGATACCCTTGTACAACCAGCCTGACATATACTTAATGATCAGTTCCTATCTACTCCCTCCGTTTCTGTACTCCCCACAACATACACTCCATGCATCAGCCACTTGAGATCTTCATTGTGCTATAGAAGCACTGGTGGCACAGTGGTTAAAGTGCTCACATGCCACCCAAAATGTCAGAGGTTTGAATCCATCAGTGGCGTCAAGGGAGAAAGATGTGGCAGTTTGCTTCTGTAAAGATTATAGATCTTAGAAACCCTATAGCACAGTTCTACTCTGTCCTGTGCGTTTGTATGCATTGACCAACTAAGAGACATTGGAATTTCTTTACTAAAGGTACCATTTCAAACCCACCAGTCACTCAGTAGAAGGCAGACAGGGCAATTTACTTCCATAAAGATTCACTGCCTTGGAAACCCAAAGGAGGTTACTGTGAGCTGGAATTGACTCGACGGCAGTTTTTTTATTTTTTTTTTAAAGGCACCATAAACACTCATCTAGACCCATTTCTTTAAAAGATGTATTTGAATAAAATTTTTACTTTTTGCTTAACAATTATTTATCAAAACACCAAACTCATTCCTGTTGAGTCGATTTCGACTCACAGTGACTTGTGACCCTACATGACTAAGTAAAACTAACCCATAGGGTTTCCAAGGCTGTAAATCTTTATGGAAGCAGACTGCCACATCTTTCTCCGGCAGAGCTGTTGGTGGGTTCAAACCACTGACCTTTCGGTTAGCAGCCAAGCACTTCCAAGCACTTAACCACTGCACGACCAGGGCTCCTTTACTTAACAAAATAAGTAATCTATATTGTTTTGATCAATCATGTATTACTAATAACTATAATAATTCAATCCAGAGGAAACTTTTAACACTTGGAGCTTTATGACAAAGAAATCATTAATTTAAATATATTTTTTGACACAGAGGAGAACCACAGCATGATTAATAAAAGAATTTTTAAAGCATAAAGTTAAATTACATTAGGATAAATTCTGAGGGGAAAATAAAATGCAAATAAATTAAATAAAAAGCAACTATGTAATTCATCTCCAAGTTAAAGATTTTGTTCATATTTTTTAAAAATGGAGAGTATAATTAACAAATAACTGTAGTATTTATAATCTATTAGATGCACTTAAAGGGGACTTAAGATTTATATTTTTAATGTCAGTATTCACAATGTCAGAACTTACATTCTTTGCATCTGTTTAAAGTTAATGATAAAAAATTTTTAATACCAATTTATAAATGCACAAAAGAGTAAGCAAATTTCCATTTAAGAAGAGTTTTGGCAGTAATATGGAGAATAAACTGGAGGAGGGAAACTAAGAGGCCATTTGGGAGAACTAATAACCCAGATAACAAAGTATTAGGGCCTAATCTAAGGAAACAGGATGGTAAGTATAGAACACATCCAAAACAAGAGTGAACAGGCAGAATCACTGGTAATACAGAACATAGGACAGATTCAAGAGATTTTAAAGAAACTTTAAAAATAGTGAAAATGGGCTTTGATGGTTTCAAAGTTTCTGGTTGGGAAGACTGGTTTAAAATAATGAGGAGCCCAATACCTAAATAAAGTAATATAGCAAATAATCCGAGAAGCTGCATTATATGAAGAAGAACATGGCAACAGGATTGGAGGAATACTCGTTAACAACCAGTGATACATAGATGACATAATTTTGCTTGCTGAAAGTGAGGATAACTTGAAGCACTTACTGATGAAGATAAAGACTACACTCTGCAATATGGACTACACCTCAATATAAAGAAAACATAAATCCTCACAACTGGTCCAATAAACAGCTTCACGATGGATGGAGAAAAGATTGAAGCTGTCAAGAACTTCATATGACTTGGTTCTACAATCAACACCAATGGAAGCAGCAGTCAAGACATCAGACGATGTATTGCATTGGGCAAATCCTATGCAAAAGACCATTTTCAAGTGATGAAGAGCAAGGATGTCTCCTTGAAAACTGTTGTTGTTGTTGTTATTTGCCGTCGA